TTTTTTCATCTTTTTACGGTGTATAATTTACCTTTTTATCATTACTGTTTCATTAGAAACACCGACGCAGCTCACACTAGTTTTTAGCTAGTTATATCTTCTGGTTTTATATTGCGGTAGCTATCATTCGAGCTATGTCGAGAAAGAAAAAAAGAGAAAATATATAATGATATTCGAGTAAAATATATCTGTATGATATATACGAAAAGAACGTATTAAATGCGAGTAAATATAGACAAATAAAATGAAGAAACACGAATAAAAAATATAAATTAATAGTTGAGCGAGACAACCACCTCGACTTATGAAATCAGTCTAAAAAATAACACGAAAAAATTAAAGTTTAACTCGAAAAAATATTTGTCCACTTTTAGAATCGAGATACTGAAATAGCACGTAACTCGAAAAATAAGGTTCAATCTGCTGGGTTGGAGTTACGTAACTCGAATTTGACATTCAACGCTGTTTGTCATCGAGTTAGGCACAGATGTCAAAGCGGGCGTGGCCCCGAAATATGGGTGTGTCCGAGCGCGTAACTCGAAAAGTGTGTAAAACTCGAAAACCGTAACTCGAAAATCGTAACTCGAGTTTTTCCTTCCCTCGTTCGTGAAGCTTTTTGAGTACCAATGAACTAAGATGATAACAAATGACACTTGGTGACTCATTTCATTGAGGATATTGTGACCCGAGTAAGGTGATAGTCGGAGTTATGTTTTGTGTCTTTATGAATTATATCATTGTCTTCTGATTGGCTACACCCCTTTCTTTTCCGATTTCCGGTTACGAACTTTTTCTACGATTGATATTATCTGGACCGAGTCTAATCGATCCAATATATGACAAACCAGGCTGTTTTCGGATTCTTCTTCCAACGTGATGATAAATAGGACAATCTCATATTTCAAGGTCCAATAAAAAGAACATAAAGTAAACTAAGAATACTCAAAATACGCTGCTGCTTATAAAGTGATCGAAAATCCAAAATGGCTTCCTCTGCAAACAACGTGCGTGGATTCTTCCAGTGACGTCACTTGGCGAATACAATGCATTCCATGGTTACGGGAATTACCCAAAACGATTGGCTGAGAAGCCTTATCGGAAAAATGCGAAATCTAGCCGCCTCGATAGCTCTTCACGAGCTCAAAATAGGTGAAGCATTTGTAACATTTGAGTTTTTTTTTTAATGTATTGGAGATTACAAATTCAAATGTATGTTATCTATATTTATTGATACTTTTTTGTTTTGTTTATTTTGTTAAATACTTCATTATTATAATATTTTTTTCATGTATTGTTTCAGAGTGAAAAACAAGCATTTCACTTCSTAGCTGAAATAGAAAATGATGAAATAAAATCAGAAGAGGATTTCAAAAAGATATTTCATATATTACTGAATGCTGGATGCCAAATAAATAGCACAGATAGGGTAAGATCTTTAAATATACATGTATTTGCACTTATTTTTATATATTCTATATTTAATTTTTACTTTTATTTATTTTTATTTATTTAAAAATAGGATTATATATATTTTTTAATTTTGTAACATTTGAAAAATATTGCTATATTTTAGCGGACATATTACCAAAAGGATGTGGTTCGTCCCCCAAGACAGTCCCAGAATGCACTGCAATACCAACTTGGCCTATGCCCAGTTTTCTCCACAACCTCGGATTGGCTAACTGCCAATAGCTTGCAATGAATGAAATTGAACTAAAGAGATTGTCTAAGAGAAAAATGTATAACGATAATCATATTTCTATTTTATTTTACAAAGAATATATATATGTATTTATATGTATATACACCTGATTGCAGGAAGGTTGTAGTATACATTTATACAGATACCTAATGAGATGCAAGATATCAAATGAGATGCAGAACGTAAAACATGTTCAAATAAAATTGCTTAGCCACTACATTTTGTGGAAAATACTTCTTTAACTTGACTTTGTGCAATACTAAATGTCTATGATACAATAGAAGATAAATAATACCAAATAAGTTACTTTTTTACGTTCTGCATCTCATTTGATATCTTGCATCTCATTAGATATACGTATAAATGTATACTACAACCTTTTTGCAATCAAGTGTGTGTAGATATACACTTATTTCAATAAAGTTAGTCACCTCAAAAATTACAAAGGTGAGACCGATAAGGATTATGGGTAGATACATTTTACATGTTTCAACCGCTTGATAACTGTTGATGGACTTGAGATCTTCTACCAGTTACAAGTTCACCTCCTCTGAGCATCCTCAACTGCTGCAGTTTGTGTCAAAAGCTTTACTTGTTGAATATGTAACATTTCGCATGATTCTCAGCGATCACAGCTTTCTAGGTTCTTGGTGACTAACTTTATTGAAATAAGTATATATTAGGCCAAATAAAGTCATTTAATTTTCAATTAGTTTGGAAATACTCCTTTGATGCTGGCTGCAGAAAAAGGCAACTCTATAGCTTTAACATCGTTGCTTGACAACGGAGCAGAAACAGAAAAGACCAATGTGAGTAAAATCATCACTTATAATTAATTCAATAGGAATATCATCTATAATTATTAATCAATAATAATTAAAACTCATCAACTAATGAGTTTGGGCTAGGTACCAGTGCGGGGTCCGGTTACGCGAGTACATCCTCCAGCAAGGAGGTAACCATGGCAACCGGGCCACAACCCAACACTGGTGCCTGTCACACTGTTAAAACAGTGGAGATAATACTTACCTATGATGACTGAACTTAACCATATAGAGGAGGGAGGGAGGGGCAACTTGTACAATGGCAAGCATGCAAAGATGGCATACAAGCTACAAGCCAGCTAGTGAACACGCCACCCGGAGCGAGGGCGCATGCGTAGCGTGGATGATCCGCTGGCCAACGGTGCTTAGGCTAGCAGGCTTAGTGGTGGTTTTAACTTTGCCTAAATTACATTCATTTAAAAATAAAAGTTATATAGCTATAGAAATAAAACTAGAATCAAACTGTCATTACAAAGCACACTATAGTAAATGGAAACGTTTCAAGAAAATTCATCTGTTCGATATGTCATGACATAAATCGCTGAAACATTTCTATAACAATTCGGCTACAATGCACAAGTCCAATCCAATTTTGATCAAATTTATTAATTATATGAATAACAAGATATTGATCGAAGAATTCTGGATTGTAAACTGTTTCTCGTTAAGATGATGCGAACATTTGTACAGATTCTTTTGCCACAATACTCAATCGAGATTAGCTAATTTGTATGTAAATTTTTTTCGGTTGACTTGGGGCCCCGTCCACACGTATCCGGAAATTTTTGTACCCGCAAATTATTTTTTTGCGGATACGAAAATGTTTGCGTCCACACGCAGCGTATACGAATCGTTTTCACCGTCCACACGTATCCGTTTTCGTAAAATTTGCGAATACGGACACAAAAATTTGAGGACACGTGTGGACGCAACCCGTATCCGTAAAAAAAAATTGCGGACGAGGCCTTGGTTGGTATAGTCGCACAAAGTAGCGCTGAACCATATCAGTGAATTTTTTCAGCCAATCAGAGGTGACATATTCATTTAAAGGCACAACAATATTATCGTTTCTGTGTCAACAGGATCATGGTAATGGTCCCCTTCACTGGGCATCGAAAAGGGGAAGAATAGAAGCAATAGACATACTGCTTCTGTACGAAGCTAATATCAACGCACAAACTAAGGTACTGGAAAAATTGTATCAGTTCATTTTATTTTTCGTTAACTGTCCGTCCCCCCTTTCCAAATAAGTAATAATAATAATAATAATGATGATGATGATGATGATAATAATAATAATA